TTGGCCTCTTGAGACATGAGTCAGGGTTTCCTAAATCCCCCCAAAATAAAATATTTAGGTGGCGACTCTGTATCTGGCAAAGCAGTCCATGTTTGGCACTTCTTTCTAAAAATCAGTTTTTCAAAATGATTTGTCGGATTTGTACTCTTTGGTGATTTATCAATCTCGCATTGCACTTTGCAAGATCAGATTAAGAACCGTGACATTGAGTCCGAACTGTAGTGAGCCCAATGAACAAAACGGGATTTTCCTGGGACATTTGGGCACGTCTACAGTTAGTGAATTCTGTTATGTGGGTGTTCTCTTAATTAGTACTTTTGCATCTAAAAAGAGCAATAGTTGATAGTTAATTTGTTTAGTTTTTTTGTAAACTGAATTTGCTAAAATATAAAACAATAGTGTTATATTTTTATCTTTTTCAGTTCTTATAATGATTTTCCTTTTTTTTCTTTTTTTCTTTTGTGTGTGTGTGTGTGTGTGTAATTAAATTATAGTAATGTAAGTACTTTTCATTGCCTACCTTTTTTTTTTTTTTGAAGGGCCTCAATTTTAATGATCCGCTTTGAGTCCTGAAAAATTTAAGACCGCCCCTGACTTTACTAAAGCGAGTAGGTTGTGAAATAACTTTTTTCTTCTTATTCATCATCTCATGCCAAGGTTTTAATCTACCTCTCCCCTTACGTCCAACATCTTTCTTCTTTATGCTCTTAACTTGTGCAAAGTTGGGATCATCCACATCTAATTCTTTGGTACCAAAATTTCCAACTCCGTTCATTATATTGTTCACTTTTATATACAATTCCTTAATCCCTTCATCAACTAATTAAGACAGGTTTGTGCACAAATGATTGAGTTGTTAGTTTTACTATTCTTGGACAAAGATCTCTATAATGTACTAATATTAACAACTTCGGATCATCCTTATCCACTATACCATTTTCCTCCTCAACTTTGCAATATTTTGCATCCAATCTCCATGGGCCTAATATATACTTTTCGAGAATTTTCATAACATTCATTCTATCAAGTGCTTTGATTGCATGACTACATAAAATTCTAAAGCTTCCAAATTTCTTACAAGTACAATTAATATATTTCTCGACAACCTTTTTCTCCTCTTAGCCTAGTAACTTCCACCTAACCCTCCACAATATACTCTGCATAATGATACAAGCCAATCACGCACTTAACTTATACTTCTAACTCATGGAATTACTTCACTTGACAACAAATGGACATATCCAACTCATAATGAAATAAGTCAAAGATAAAAAGGGTGTACAAACTCGCAACCTGAATTAAAATGGGAGACTTTTTCAATTTCATTCTTGGCACCTTTTGTCTAGAGTCATTTACTGCAGAAACTTCCTCATACCGCTTATCTACAACAATTCGATTGAAGTGAGTAAAGAATTAAAAAAATGTTATGATCGGCTTTCAAATATCCCCTTAATGTTCCATCCAGATTTTTACTAAGTTGTGTGCTTCACATTCCTCTAGTAAATACCCGCTTCATATACACGTGCGCCTACTGCTCTCTTTTTGTCCAAGTTCTCTTCATCCATTCATTCTCTTGCAAGTTGTATTTATCAATCAAAGAATTCCAAGTTTCAATTAATTCATGCTCATTCTCGAAGTCATAAATGCAAGCTTTTAAATCACTACTAAATTTTGAACCACTTTTGAACAAGTAATCTAAATGCTTCAAAGTATTTTGCATTAGGTAAAAGTGCACAACCTGTAAAAAACCCCAGGCATGATTTGTGAAATTGCCTTAGCCATTGCTTGATCTTGGTTTATGAAAAAACTAGTAGGCTTTTTTTCCTGACATTGCATCCAAAAAAGTTTCAAATGACTGTACAGTTTCATCATACAATAATGACGCACCAAAATAAAGTGGTTAAAGCCAAAAAATAAAGCAAGCGGACGATACTCCTTATTTGTTCGAAAAGTTATGTTGAATGACATAGCATCACCAAAAAGCCTATAATATGTTATCATCTGATGATCAGTCCAAAAAATATTAGTAATCATCTCATCTACATCCAACTGAATGGCATAGTAAAAATATGGATTTTCTGCCACTTGTTGCTGGAAATATCTTAACAGACTCCCTACTTCACCATACTACAAGTTTCGCTGTCTTTTTTTGCACATAAGTACTTTTTTTGATCCTCCCACATGAACCCTACAAATTCTTTCCCTCTTGCTATAGCACTAATAAGATCATGTGAAGCCTTAAGAGATATTTCAGTCTCATCAACTATACCAATATTCATACCCTGAGCATCACGTACATTTCTTATGAGATGGCATCAAATGAGTACACTGAGGAAGATACAAATGGTGGTTGTTATCAAACTTTAAAACAATCCACTTTGACAAGTCCCACTTAAAATATATATGCATGAATGCATTACAATTTGTTCTTATCTCACTTCGATGATTTTTTATCATCGCGTGCCATTTATATTTTTCCCTCTCTCCTTCCTTACAACAATCAAACTTTCTACTAGTCATAACATCATCTTTCTTGCTTTTGTTACAGTAATCTCTTCGAATGTTAAACCCCACAATTCTTCTATATTCATTATAAAATCCATTTGCAGCTTCTTCTGATGGAAACTCCATACCAAAATATGGCGATTTATCCTTGGCCAACTCTTTTATTTTTTCGATGCATCTCTCAGGTCCACCATTATCAATTATAGCATCCTCCATTTCAACACTACCAAATATGAAGGGAAAAAAAAATGAAACAAGAATTTGAGCAAAAAGCCATTAATTAATTTCAAATGCTGAGTAATTAAACAATTCAATGAAATCTAATAAATCAATTAATAATGTAAATTAATTAAAAGGGTAGCGGAGAGGGAGGGGAAATCTAGTACAGTAGCATTGGAAATTCATCGTGTCTAACTAGATTATAATATACAATTGCAAAATTATATTAGAATTAGTATATTATATGATATAGGGAACCCTTTGGTAGACACCCTTAACGATGTGAACCATATGCCCCCTTATTATATAATTTTTTGTATTTTTGTCACAAATGTAATGTTATTTTTTGTTGAGTTATGACAATTTATGATTAAAAAATTAAGTTCGTATTTTGTGGTAAGGTTATATTTTTTTTATTGAAACTTTTTTGAAACCATTAAATGCGTAACATCACCACAAAAATACATAATATTGTTATAAAAATTTGTAATATTTCTACAAAAATACATAACATTGCTACAAAAAAATTTATTTATGAATTCCAAATTATTGTTACTCTTTAAAAAAATTATATAATATTTATACAAAAATACCTAAACATGTACAAACAAAAAAAATTACACAACAAATAAATTTTCTTATAATATACAATTGTGTTTCTCAATCCACTTACAGAAAAACAAACCAACCATTATACGTGTTGAACCACTAACACACTGTACAAAATGAAACAGGAAGCACATATATATATACACATATACATATATATATATATATAGATACACATACCAGTTTGTTGAACAATAATGGTCCCTAAATCTGGTGGAAGGACGGTAAATCGAAGATGGAAAATACCGTTCAATCCGTTTAAGAGAAAACAAAAACGTATAAAAATAAAAATAAAAATAAATAACTAGTTGTTTAACTTCAACTTACTGTAAAATGGTGACCTTTTGCTTAAGGGGGACGATGGCCGATAGCTAGATTGTTTTGTTATAATAAAATAAGAATCAATGTCACCCTAAAAAAAAATACAAAAACGGAAAAATGGTGTCGTTTCAATAGCATAGCAGACATAGCAGGGAGGGAATGATTGCAGTGACCTCTCATCCCCACATATTAGTATATGCCACTAAATGCAGTGAGCACACAGTATTCTTGAGTAAAAGGCGAAAGAATAATACGCTTTGTGCTCACTGTGTGGTTACGTGCCTTCAATGTATTGCTTCAAAGGCTTCATATTGCAGCTCTTGCAGGGTGAGTTTTTCTTTCTCAACCGATGTGGGATTTTTTTATAATTATTTATACAAATTACGTTCTATCAATATTTAAGTGCCCCATTGCACTTTGGAATTAATCTTTGGCCCCGTTTGTTTTAGGAAATAGAGGTGGGATTGAGATTGAGATTGAGGTGGGACCCACTATATGTTGTGTTTGTTTTGGGAAATAGAGAGGGGATTCATAATCCCATGGGATTAGAATAGGCCTTGGTGTTGGGATTGAGATGGAGGAGGTGGATATGATATTAGGAAATTAGTCCCATGAGATTAGGTTTTTTTATTTTTATTTTTTTTACATGTTGGGAATTTTTTTTTAACAATAAAGTTTAATGTTTTTGTATTTTTTGTTAAGTAAAAATCATAATTTTATTTGTTTTAATATTTTATATTTCTTTTATAGGGTAATAATTTAGCAATCCCCACATTAACAACTACCATCAAAACAAACACAATTTTACTTAATTCCCTCACTAACAATCCCCTCACTATCAATCACCTCACTATTAATCTGCCTAGGCCATGTTTGTTTGGCGGACTGGATTAGGTTGGATTAGCATTCCCATGACTAATAGTCCTAGGATTACGAATCCCTTTAGATTGTATATCCTATCTGTGTGGGTGAAATCTGACCACACTGCCTGCTTAGTGATCAGCTGGAGAGCACAGGCAGAATAGATGGCTTCAGCAACCTGTAACAGAAAGAAAAGGCTCCGGCGGTGGTTCTTCCACCCGGGGGCACTCCGACGATCAAGTCAGTATATCTCTCAAAGATAATCAAGTGCAAAACTTAATAC